TCCGCCTCCACTCCCCACCCCCTTTTGCACTCCACTCGCGCAACTTGACGGTACATCGCTCCTCTACCTGTCCCCCCCCCCTCCCCCATGTCACACCTTGCAAGGACATGCGATGGGTGATGGCGGCATGTCAACATGTTTTTTCCCCCTCCGCCTCCCCCCCCTCCATCGCTCACCGCCTCACACGCTACATCAGCCGGCTGTGGTCCAACTCGCAGTGGCGCACCCATACATCACACTGGGGGTGGCCACCCTTGTTGTTGTCATTGGATGGGTGCTCTCGATGCGGGCGCGGTGGCTGCCGAACGTGCCACATCCGCTGGGATGGACACCGATTTTGGGCAACACGACGACGATCCGTGCCAACTTTCATCGGTGGCCCGAGTTTATCAACGAGGTCTCGCAAGCGATGGGCTACCAGGCGTGGGCGCTGTCGATGCTCAACGCGCCGGAGATTGTGTTCATGCCGTGCGACGAGGCCGTGGTCAAGCATGTGCTCAAGGACAACTTTGAGAACTACAGCAAGCCGAAGCGCAACAAGGAGGCACTGTTCCCGCTCCTCGGCCGCGGCATCTTCAACGTCGACGGCAAGCTGTGGGAGCACCAGCGCAAGACTTCGCTTCATATGTTCACCCGCCGGCAGATGCGCGACCACATGACCCGGGTGCTGGCTGGCAAGGCGAAAGTGTTTCGCGAGCATCTAGCGGCGGCGGCGGCCGAGGGCAAGACGATCGACATCCAGGGCGCTTATTTTGCGTACACGCTCGACTCTTTTGTGGAGATTGCGTTTGGCGTCGAGATGGACTCGATCACCCAAGCTGCGCCGTTTGGCGCAGCCTTTGACAAGGTCCAGTCTGCGCTCAACCAGCGGTTCTACGACCCGCTGTGGCGGATCAAGTCGCGGCTCAACCTCGGAACCGAGGCCGACGTCACCACCTACCTTCCGGCCATCCATAGCTTCACCTCATCCATCATTAGTCGGCGGGTGGCGGAGATGCGCGCCGAGCGTGATCGCGGCGAGTCATGCCAGCGCGCCGACCTGCTCTCGCTCTACATCGATGCAGCGCTCCGGGCGGGCGAGGACGTGACCGAGGACGAACTCTACGACGTGACCATCAACTTTATTCTGGCCGGGCGCGACACGACGGCGTGCGCGCTGGCGTGGACCACGTGGGAGGTGGCCAACCACCCCGAGGTGCTTGCGGCGCTGCGTGCCGAGGCCGATGCGGCCGCTCCGCGTGCCGACGGCGGTCTTCTGGCGCACGGCTCGTCGCCGGAAGCGCTTTACGAGACAGTGCAGGGCATGGACTATGCCCAAGCTGTAGTCTCTGAGGTTTTACGACTGCATCCGTCGGTGCCTGTCGACTCGAAGCAGTCGCTCGGGCCGGACGTGTGGCCCGATGGGACGGTCATCCCACACGCCGGCGTTACGGTGGGATACTCGCCGTATGTGTTTGGTCGGTCGACCTTGCTCTGGGGCGCGGACGCGGACAGGTTCTCGCCAGGCCGATGGGCGGACGAGGGCAAGATCTCGTACTACAAGTTCCTCACGTTTAACGCCGGCAAGCGGCTCTGCCTCGGGCTCAACCTCGCGTACTTTGAGGCCAAGCTCCTTGCGGCGACCGTCTTCCAGGACTTTGACATCCACCCGCAGGTCGACGACGTGACGTACGTGGCAACCATCCTGCACCCGATTGCTGGCGGGCTGCCGGTCAAGGTCATGCCACGAGCGTAGGGCGGCCGGAGCAAAGTCACGGCTGGGCGTACTCGACAGCACCCGGGATGCGGTTGGCCGCATGCCAGGCAAACATGATGACGTTGTAGACGGGAGTAAAGTCGATCTTGACCAGCTGGTGCTTCACGTTTGACCGCATAAACAGCTGCAGCGCGTTGGGCGGCTTGGCCGCAGCGGCGGCGGTGGCGGCCTCGGGATCGGCTGGACCGGACGACGGCAGCGGGGCCATAGCGGCAACGGCGGCAGCCTTTGTCTTGAGCGACTTGGCAAAGCCGCCAAAGCGCGACTTTTTCTTGGCAACCGGCGGCGGCGCGGCAGCAGCTGCACGAGGCGGTGGCGCGGCGGCAGCTTGCGGCGGCGGTGACGCGAGCGGGACCTCCAGCAGGACCAGGCCCTTGGCCTCGGGGTTGGGGTTCTTCAACGAGCGCGACGGCGCGACGCGGGTGATGTCACGCAGCGGGACGACAACCTTGGCGTCGTGGACGGTAAAGGTGATGTACGAGGTCCAGACCTGGATAAGGACCGGAAAGGTGTGCTCGCCCGAGACCACGGCGCCCTTGAGTGAGCGGAGAATAAACTCCGAGGCCGGGAGTGAGTACTCGGTGGCGAGCCTGAGCTGGACGCGCGGGGCCCAGGGCAAGGCGGCTGCTGCTGCCGCCGCCGCGCGCGACCACGCCACATACAGCAGCGAGAGACCGATGAGGTACGGGCCCTTACCGGCGATAAAGGTGTGGACGGCGCCGGCGGTGTAGAGGTTGACGGCGTTGGGACGCATGGCTGAGACGTCGACCGGTTCGATGGAGCCCTCGGGCACAAGGACCGGCGAGATGCCCGGCTTGAGGATCTCGCCGACGTTGACACAGACTACCGGCTCGTAGCGATCAATGTCGGCGAGGCGGATCTTGATCTTGACCACCTTTTTGTTGGCGTGGGTGTAGATGCAGAGGAACGAGGGCGAGATGTAGTACTGTCCCGTGATGACCGAGTCACCCGAGAGCAGGTTGGTGGTAAAGCCGCCCAGCAGAGGCTCCTCCGCCGGGTTGACATCAAAGGCCGCCGGGAAGGAAGTCGCCGAAAAAGTCATGTCCATGGCCATGCCCAACGACGCCACCGTCCGCTTTGCTGTCGATGCCACCGTGGATGCTGCGGCTGTCACTCCGCCATGCAACTTTGCCAGCCAGCCACCACCACCGCCAGCAGCAGCAGCATCGTCATCATCATCAGCATCACCAGCAGGAGCATCACCAGCGACGGTGGTGGTGGCAGACGTGGTGGTCTCTGGGGAGTACGGCGGTGGGGGTTCGTCCGAGGCAGCAGGGTCCGGGCATGCGCTGTAGCCCGGGAGCGTCTCTCCGTCGTTGAACACCGACTCGTTGCCGTCGGCCATGGCGTGTATGTATGGATGTATGTGTGTGGGGGGGGGGAGGGAGGGGGGGGGGAGAGGGGGGTCAGGTGGTGGTGACTCTGTCTGTCTTCGTGACGGTGGCAAACGAAGACCATTGGTTGTTCGAGAGGGATACGGGATTCTGCCCGCCATGGCGAGCAGGGTAGTATCCTCATCACATCCAGGCCCATCACTCTCACGCTCGCTCTCATTGTCGCCGCCCTATGTGTTGTGTCCTCCAACGTGATTCGTTTGATCTTGTCTTTCTACGGCATGTACATTGGATGGGGATTCGGATGGTCTCGGCCCGCCATGGTGACAAGGACGACATCCTCATCATCACAATCAACCCCACCACACTCATTGCTGCCTTCTACATATCGTCCTCCCTGATGATATGTGTCTGACTCGCCTTCCTCCGACATGTCCAGCTCTCTCGTCCCCCCGATCACGTGGGGATGGATGCAGTCAGCCGTGCACCACCCTCCCTCCCTCAACCTCGTCCACCTCCTCAGCCACAGCCACAGCTGCTCATACACGATACACTTGACGATTCTGATATGGATGGACAGCAATGCATGGTGTGCGAGGCGCGGGAGGCAGTGTATACCTGTCCCAGGTGCACCACCACCAAGTAGTACGTGGGAAGGGGGGAGAAGAGGGGGCAGACGGTGTGTGTGTGTGTGG